GGCACATGACGTCATCGCTTCATTTCTCATCTAAAGCGCCATCTTCCCCTTACAAACACAACTAGGTACAGCCTTCAACCTCTGCGTCTGTGTTATAACCTGTGCGGCATAAATCCCCAGTATTCGTGACATTTAACAGTCGCAAAGGGAAAAACTGTTACCATCCGTAACATCGCTGGTTGGCACACTAGGCGTTGACAACGCGGCATCCCTCGAAGAGCTTAGACAGTGATCCCAGCGCCATTCCATCATATCCTTAATGCCAATAACCCTTTAAAATGTCCCGTGCCTGGAACGATGTATCTTATATAACAGCTGCTGCTGCTCTTGGTTCTTTAGAGCTGTTTAGGGCTTGGTTTCTTCGAACTTTTTTTGTTCATTGTGTAGAATGATTCACTAGAAAATTGCACATGAAATCCTAACACATACCGTTATCTCTGTCTTATCTAACAGCGAAATAATAAGCGCAGGACGTTTGTAAAGCTGCTTGCGAAACACTTACAGGTATTTTGGGAATGCTTCGTGACGAACGGCTTTGCAATCAGCGTAATAAGCCCCTTTAATGATGCAAGCGCTGCAGTAGCGACAAAAGGTGTGACTCGTCGCTTGTTCTTCCCGGCAAACATTTCATAAGTCGGGCATGCGGAGCGCGCATCAGCTCTACAACAGCAACGCGCAATGATAAGCGAAGCAGAAATGAAACGTTTGTTTAGAATGGAAAATGAATGCGATGTTTTTGGACAAAATTACTTTGACCGCATTCCAAGATGACAGACCGTATCTTTGAGTGATAATGTCGCTTAGGGATTTCTGCGCTCGGGTCGTGTCGTCCGCACAATGATTGTCTATGTAGACTGCACGTTCGATGTAGCTGACCTCCGGCGCGGCTGGTGCCGCTGGGTCAGCTGACCACCCTGCCGGCCAGTCTGGTGGGGATAGCCGTGGCCGACCCGCGTCACGCACCTTCGCCGGCCGCAAACATGTTTTGCAGGCATATCTGCAAGTTTAATTGTAGGAATCAGTTCATCGTACTCCAACTTGGAGGACGTTATGTCGCAATCACGAATGTGTGATACTGCATTGCATTTTCACGAATCAGAGGCATCCAAATTCATATACGCATTTCACACATCCTTGTCAAAACAAATAAAAGAAAGTGTGTTACTCGTGGAAAAGGGAGCTCAGCAGATCAAAAAATGTACAGGCTCACACTAAAAAAATGTGCTGATCAAAACAGGACCAAGACAAAGACTATGGCTTGCAAAAGGCATGATGCCTGCTTAGCTGTGGCGAAACGCTTACGTACATCCGAGACGCAACATTACCTGCTCCAAGTGCCTCTTAAATTGCAGCATGCATAGCCGTGTCAACTCTGGTGGCAGCTTATCGAATTTGCTCGATATAAGCGTGCGGCGCCCTTCGCCATAGCTATATTTTCTTCACGGGCCATGGAGCAGACCGACTTGCCTGGTGTTACAGCTGTTTGTGGCTCTGAAAACCATCGCATCCATGTCAGGAAGCTGCCCAGTGTCACACGCAGTTCTTATGAGACACATCTCATGGTATGACACCGTGGTCTGATGCAAGCCATCCGGTGTCATTACATACTCCGGGATGTCATTAAACATGTGGCTTTCCCTACGTCCACCGACCACGCTCTGAGAAATCTAATAGCTTTCATGTGCTATTCAGTTTGGCTTTTCACGGGTACCGTGCATTGAAATGCAATAACGTATTAGAGTGTTTCACATTCATATGAGGTTTTGAACCAAAATAGCCATGGCCTACCAATAGCTATAATCGAGACTGTTCCATCATATCTGATGCTTGCCTTAATGTCTTCACATGTGGAACATTCCATTTAAGCTGACAACTAAGACGTTTACGATGTGCGTGATGATGAAAATTGGCAGACCATATTTGGAATGTGACACCGCCATGAGTGTGCCTTGGTTTTAACCACCAGCTATTTGATGTGGTGATCAAAAGAAAGGCGGTCATCTATGAAGGGAACGATATTGTTTGCAGTCTTACATTCAGAGACCTCAAAAGTGCCAAATTTGATTTGCTGGGGTTGAAGTTTACTTGACGGCCTTGCAATTCCAAACACCAACGCTAGGGTACTTGGTGTATTGACTTTCATGAAGCTGGAACAAAACCAATCAGGCACCCTTTCTGGTTGGCATAAAAAGGAAAGGCATTCAGCTCCTGGCTTCTCGGCATTATGAGTTGAAAGTTCTTATTGAGTTAACACGCACTCTGGTGGGGGTCAAGTTGACCCCCCCGCAAAGGCTTTTTCCGGAATGATTTCCGGACGGCGTGGCGAAGCCTCGTGAAATCTTGGATAGCTGTAGACAATTGAGTAGACAATTTGGTATCCAAAATTTAGATGTAACTTGTAGGGTCACTAACATACGGCAGGTCAAAGTAGGCCACAGATTCAGCGAAGTCAATTTTTATGGAATTGTTCAATCTGATGCACCAACGGAGTATCAGACGAAGCCATTCATCTCTGAGGTACTTTCTAAAGCAACACAACAATTGAATGGACAAATTCCACTGGCCTAGGGTCAGGCATGAAAGTCAGACCAAGATCCAAACTAACCTGTTTTATTACTCTAGGGCCTGCTGTATGGGGTAGTTTTTGGTGGTCATTTGTTATTGATTGAACTAAAATGACCCAGGTCAACATTTTGTTTTTGAGAACATACTGCCTCGCGTTATCCTTGTCGCTTATTCAAATGCAAAACTCAAGCATACTTGTATGGTTTTGGTCACATTGACCTTTAAGAGAACAAAGAAGGTCACTGATCTTAAATGAGCATGTGACCTTTTCCTTAGAACAGATATCTAGGTTCTGAGGACGTTTTGGAGACCAGCCTGGAGTTTCACCTTGTTTGACCTTATTTGGCACGAATGCCATGGCCTAGGAACCTTAATTTTTGACCTAAGTGAGTTAACGCACAGGTTAACACACACTGTGAATTTAGTGTCTCTAGCTCTCATAGTTCATGAGATCTCAGGGAGCCAAATTGACCCGCACCCGAGCGAAGGGTATCCAACCAGCCAACCAGACACGTGTTAAAACTAACATCGATATACCAGGAGTTAGTGGATAAGCGGTGATGTGATGCTAAATAGCAATTATATTGACCGTGTGCTATATTTCAAGGTGTGCTCATTCTCAGGAGTGACAATAGGTCAGAAAGCCTCAGCGAAATGTTGCACTTGAACAGTAAGACACGTGCATCAAGAAACATACTCTCAATCTGTGCCAAAAGAAGTCACAAAGGCGCATGATCTAGGCCCTATCAAACCAGGCGCAATTCAGCGTTAAAGGCTGCCAAAAATAAAACAACACAGGCGGCCAGGCTGAAAAAGTGCAGTTGTTTAAGCTGTTCAGCTGTGCAAGCTGTTTCGAATAACGACGCAGATAACTAGATAAAAACAATACTAACCGCGCCCCAGCCACCATGAACATTGCCGGAAGCTCAGGAATGTGTATGATCTAAAACTGTTACTTAGTCCAGGTCGCATGATGAATTTGTACGTGCAGCCTTAGGTAAACATTCCAAATGTGCACAGATTCTCTTATCTTGAGATCCGCACGGTCTAACTGTTGATGATATTAACATTTCAGAGTCGTTGTTTATTGCGCAGTACTGGAGTTCCGAAGCAATGAGTCGCCGTGCTCTGGAGGATAAGCACAGCTCGAAATATTGAATGTTGACAATATAATCGATACTCAGCATCACAACGTCGTTTTACAAACACTTCCTGGTAAATTGAAGGTCGTTGAGTCAGCATGAGAGGTTTCAATCACAAT